GGTCAGAGGTGGGGATGGGGAGGGGGGAAGTGGATTCACCAGAGACAGAGAGAGTGATGTATATCTACCAGGCAGATGTACTAGAATATGCCAATGAGGGGAGCAGCAGGTGAAAAAGGAGAGGGCTGACACTTACCATGTGGGTCAGCTCCCTGGCCGGGGATCAAACTCATGCTGCAGTGGCTGTGGATAGCTTCATGTGTTGTGCATACTTTAACCCCTTGTGCCAACAGGGAGGGATCCAGGAATTGTAGACTTGTTAACAATGAAGTCATGTATGCATTAATGATGAGAAGAAAGATATGCCATGATTCTAAAGGGGGCAGTAATAAAGCAAATGGGGAAATATATTTACAAGAGTACAGTTAAGAGCTAAGATCATTTAGGAAACACATGTTTGAGGAAATAGGAAAAGCTATGAAGGGAGCTATCAGGTAATGTATATTAAATTGGATACTTGATTTGATTTTGGAGTATGATGAACCGTGTGTAAAAGGGGTTTGGTACTAAAATGTGAGGGATTTGTTTGTGGTAAGATCACAGGTAAATTCCACAGCAGAAGTAACCATCTAGTAGAATCTAAATTTGAAAATATGTCCAAGTCAATGGGCTCTGTTCCCTTCAAATATTAATTAAACAATTTGGGAGACTGATTTTAATTAAGAATTGGACTATGCTTTCATTTTTTTATGGCTGCATTTTTAGGCACTCTTTCAATTTAATTAAGTTTAAGTTGCTTTTATTCTTTCAGCATTATAAAACAACATATATCGTATCACATCATTAGGCCTTGTTACAATCCTATGAAGTGAATTTTTCCCCCATTTTTCAGGCTGAGAAGCTAAAGTTCAAAAAGAATCATTGGTTCACTCATTCTTTTGACAAATATTTGTTTGACTTAATATGCTAGACATGTGCAATAAATAAAGCAGACAAAATCTCTGCCCTCATGGAGCTTGTACTCCCAGAAAAGCAAAGTAGAGACAGAGATACACACAGTGCCTTTACTTTAGACTCAGCACTGTCCTCGAATCCATGCTTTTGATTGAATTTCAGCTTCTAGCTTCTACAATAGAAGGTCAATATTCTTTAATGATAGCAATTTTATTGCTATGAGGAGCCAGCAGGGGGCAGACCCAAAGTCAACTTCTATTGGAGTTGTAAGAAAAGCTGAGCAGTTGCTGGGCCACTTCCCAGCCAGTGAAGCCCCTTTTAGTAACTGCTGGGTATCCTGAGGTGTGACAGAGAAATAATATCTATTCTATGGAAGAACTGCTGAAAATACAGCCAGAAATAAGATTCTCCACCTAAGGGAAGGGGAAAAACAAAGAAGCATTGCATAATGCTTGATATGTTACAGGAGGAGTTTGCAAGTAAAATAGAGTCATAAGTGTATATAAAATTGTTTAAGTAGTTAAATACAGATGAACCAGTGGTGAAGTTTACAGCAGTCTCAGAAAATCTGGAGTGGTATTCTGGGTGATTTGTTAGTTTTAAGATAGATTTAAAGAGTTCATTTAGTTGCTCTTAGAAACATTGCTAGAGCCCAACGCAGTGAGGAAAAGGCAAACAGATCCAGGTGAGTGAGGAACTACTGCAAAGAGCTGAGCTCCTCTGGGAATCTTTCATTCATTTGTTCAATTAATATTTGTTGATTACCTGCCAAATGTGTTCCAAATGTGTTTTGTTCACTGCTATATCTTTCTTTTTTTTTTTTTTAAGATTTATTTATTTATGCATACAGACCTGAGATACAGGTCAGAGGTGCAGGGGTGGTGAGAGGATTCACCAGAGACAGAGTGGGGAGCAGAACAGGTGGATCAATGAAGCACACTGCTGAGGGGAGCAACGGGTGGGTCAGGAGAGATCTGCCATGCCATGTGGGTCACCTCCGAGCTGGGGATCGAACTCTCACTGAAGTGGCTGTGTCTGGCTTGCAGTGCTGCGTCCTAACCCATTGTGCCAGCAGGGAGGGCCCTCATTGCTATTATCTTTAATACTCAGCACAAATCACAAATCTGTTATCCTGAAAAGGTTTTAATTCTAATAGGAGGATAGCACTAGATGATAGAGGGGGAGAAGTGTGTTATTAAGATAATTAAAACCAGCTGCCTCAAGCATATTGGCCATATCAGTGGCTTACCCATCGAAGGTCTCATCTCATAAAATCTGATTGTGGTTATAGACTCAGTGACCAAGACTTCCTCCATCTCAAGGTTCTTCAAGGCTAAAAAAAAAAAAAAAAAAAAAGAATTGAAGCCAAATTGATTCTTAATGAAGTGCAGTTACTGCACAGTGAATATCTAAGAGAAAAGGGTTCCAGGCAGAAAGAAACAGTGAAAAGAAAATTTTGAGGTTATTTATGGTCCCTGGTTAGGCATGTAAGAAGCTTAGAATTTGCTACTCCATTGTAACAAGTAGAAAATGGAACTGAAAAATCAATAATTCTTAGGTCTTATAAGAGAAATGAGGTCAGAGGGCAAACCACTCTCCCTTAAATTAGAGACAGATAGGCAGGTACATAAAATCACAAGTTAACACATAAATATGCTATCCAGAAATAGTAAAACAACCACTGTGGCTTCTCTTAAGGAAAATAAAGATCGAAAGAGAAGCAGAGGCCACCAAATTCCTTTCCGGTCTAGAGATGAAGCCTGAAAATGCAGTTGTTAGGGGCCATTTAGTGCCCCTTAATGACTTCTTTTTATAAAAGCTTTATGATATAGAAGTAGTTGATGGTTATAATGATAACTGTAAAAATTATGAATAATATGCTCCATTTCCTAGAGGAATCTTTAAAAAAATATATATTACAGTATCTACTTCCCTGAGTGAACAATTGTAAGTTTCTAATAACTGAGAGTGTTTTCTAGATATCCAAGACACTGAGTGGGTAGGGTGTATCCTGTCACTCATGTGCCATAGGACCAGGTACAATAGATAGACTGTATTGCCCTTCACAAAACTTCACGGGAAGCTGAGCATGAAGGCCTCCTGCCCGATTTTACCAACAACCCCAGGCACCCTGTAGTTCTTTGATAGCAACCTCACAGAGCAGCCTGACCCTTCTGTAAATGCCATCACCTCAAACTCCTGGAACAAGCACACCCTAAAGAGATTTTTGTTCTCTCTGATACAAAACCTTAAGCATTGCAAGTATCATGTTAACTCTTTAATCTAAAAAAGTAACTACCAGGTGAGGAGTAAAACTGAAAGGAAATACATTTAATTTAAATATTCTAGATTAGTATGTTATGATTAAATAGGTAAAATAAATTGTATTCCAGATTTTTGATAAATGTTGACTTCATGTTTCTCTCCACATAAGTTGTTGACATTGAAATTCAATGATCTCTGTTGTTTACTCAGAGAATTGTCTTAACCCTGAATTTTCAGCTAGAAATGCTGTAATTCTGAATTTGCTTACTGAATTGAATTAAAGTTTTGCATTAGGGGTGAACATTATGAGAGTAATTCTGGTACAAGGGGTTGGCAGTTTTGTGCAGTATGCTTAGAATGTCACAGCCCTGTAATAATTGTATACTATCCTGGCCTGTTTCCCAGATTTGCTTGAAAAGGGTCAAAAGACAGGCTGAAATTAATGACACGTGAATGCTGAATTCCAATTAGAGATGTCTTCAAAGGAATAATTAGGCTAAACTTAATAGGATGAGATTATGAAAAGAAAAGGCTCTAGGCAAATAATACACTAAAAAAAAGGGATGTCAAACAAGGCAACTATGGGAGATTGGAGCTGATTAATATTTAAGGCAGAGATTTTATCTATTATCTTAAAAACTATATAAATATACTAAGACAGGTGACTGGAGAAGGATGGTTACTGATCTCAAACTAGCAAAAGGAATGTCAACACTGGGAACATTCTGGTACTTACGATCTGGGATTGCAATTTCATTCTCTTTATTACAGACGATAGGAGCTTTGCTTTCCAAATTAATAACAACCGCGATGGCAAATGTGCAGTGCGCGCCATACTTTACATTTGCTCATTTTGTTCCTCAGTAAAATAGGAACAATTTACTGTGGAATTGCCACAAACACCCTAGCAGGTAGATACATTAAGAGACTTGTTTAACACCATACACCTAGGGATTGTCAGAATGCAGAACTCAGCAACTTGCCTGGGGTGTCGGAGCTCTCATTCACGAGTTACCTAAGTCTTGACGAGAAGAGGCACGTGCGCTCTAGTGTCCTCCTTTGACACTTAAAGAATCTTCCTTACTTTGCTTTTGTCATTCATTTGCTCCTTGTCCAAAGACTCCAATGAGTAGAAGAGAAAAGGAAGCCGCTCAGTCAGCCTACAGTTCAGGTGCTGGTGTGCTGTCTTACTGCAATGCTAATATTCGCTGAAAAAAAAAAATCCTTTATTGGACTCTTTGCTTCGTCTAGGAGCATTCACTGAGCGTAAAGCGGGATTATCTGTCAGGAATACAAATATTAATTTACTTTCTAGATACGTTTGTAAATTCAAAAGCTTAAAAACAAAAACAAAACCTCAGACATTCACTAGAACGGAAGCCTTTCTAGTCAACTTCTCCCCACGGCG